CCCCAAAACCCCAAAACCCCAAAACCCCGTGAATAGAATATGCATAATTTATTCTAATCATCATGAAATTAAATGAGTTATTATCTATTAGATTTGATTTGCTATATTTTTGGGGTATTTGTTCGTCTCTATATATATACTCCTCCCTAATATCAATAAATAGTTTCAATATCACTAGTCGTTCACTGCAACACTACTTTTTTATTCATCACTAACTTTAGTTTCTCCTTTGAAATGAAGTCTCTCAGTATCCTTCATGTCATTTAAATGCACCTCATGCTCCCCTTAGATCTTTTTATAGAACCAGGGGATAAAGCAGTTAGTTTCTTTCATATATATCTTGAAATCTTCCCTCTGAGAGTATTTCTTCTCTAGAATTGGCACTCCAGATACGAATCTCAAGAGTAAAGTGGTAATCAGAGCAGCATAGAATGTAATCCAACCATTATCAACTGAGCAGGCAATAAGGAATATCCCCCACCATTACACTGATTCTCCAAAGTAATTAGGATGTCTGGAGTACCTCCACAAACCCTAAGTCATAAGTTTACCTTTGTTTGCTGGGTTCTTTCTGAATACTTACAACTGTACATCTGCTACTAACTCGAATAAGAATCCGCAAAGCCAAAGACCTGCTCCGACAGCATCTAAAGGATAGAACTCATCTGTTGACCAAATTGTTATGAAGAGAGCACTGCTGTTCATGATTACTTGGAATATAGATTGGATGAAATAGATTCCAATGTAGGATATAGTATAGTAAAAGCACTTGCCCTTCTTCATCCAGTCCTCCCTCATTTAAACATACCTCCAATCCTCTCCCTAATGCCTGATTACATTATTCAAAGCCATTCTTAAAGCCCATACAAGGAGAAGGCAATTAGTAAGGATTGTTCTCTCATTAAAATTATGATTTTAAATCCAGATCACAGCGTTTGGAATTAGAAAAGTAAGTCCCCATGTAATATCCACTATGCCATTGTCTTTTAAGAGCTAGCCAACAAAGTAAAGGATAATGTTGAAGATAAAAACGGACAGAATAGGGCTCCATATGTAAGCATCCTCAACTCCAGTTTGTGTAGGTACTGTCATTTATTTGTAAATTATTAATTGATTCGATTAAATTACGTATTTTTAACTCTTAACTTAAACCACTATAGATTAATTTATCTTTCAATTGAATTTTCATTTAATTTCCACGCATGGGGTTTTGGGGTTTTGGGGTTTTGGGG